CACTGGAGGAAGCGAGCCACTTCCCATCGGGGCTGAAGGACAGACACCGAACTGCCTGCGTATGACCCTGTAAATATAAGCATGAATATCAGCTCAAAAGCAACTGAGAAAATATATTATCAAGTGCAGAGGCTCAACCAAGCACAACACATGGAACCACACAGACACACAAACATATTAGACTTGAGGCAGCAAGTTGCGGTTTCTTTTTTTTACTAGAATGAATAATATTTTAATGGACCATTTCATTTTGTTGAAATAATCAGTGTTCATCACCACTGAATATATCCGTCCGGTCTTTTATTAAGCACTTGGCAGAGGCTGCAATTCATGGTTGAACTATGTGAGCAGCTATTTTAGAGGCTGGCTGCGATTCTGGGACAAACACCAACTCTCCTTGGGCGGACTGGGTAAACTAACAGGAATCATTTATCCACATCAGCTTAGGCTCAGTTCAACCAAATAAGGAAGAGCCTCCCTCTATAGGCTGCAGGGACTGTAAGGGGGGGGGTCCTCTCTGTTACATATCCTTTACAAGTGTGCATACAATTTCTGCATACAATAATTATACAGTTTACACACTCCTTACTAATTTCTGTGCAATTCTTTCAGGACATATGCTTTATGACACATATTGTGACGTTACATAATTGTACAACAAGCTGAGAATTCAAAATGTACCAAAATTCACAGCTATCATACACAAAATAGTTTGCCGTATTTGTTTTTGCTTTCTCTTAGCTATTGGATATAAAACTTATTTTACTATTTAAAATAGCACTACCTTGTCAGTTTCAATAAGAATGACCAATTATGTGGCTTATTCACATCATAAAAGCACCGGTACTAAAACCAGTTTAGACCATCTGACAAAAAAGGAACGTAAGGTAGAAAGAACCGATTATTTTTATGGAGCGTAAAGTGTGATGATTTTTAAGTGATCATTTTTATGCATAAACCACTGGACAATAATGTATGTAATGGCAATAGGAAAACAAGCACTTTCTGCTTAGAAAGTAAGTGGAAAAAAAAGCTTTTTACCTTGTATCTGAAAACACATCCTTTCCTTCTAACATCCCACAGCTGAAAGAGAAAAAAAGCAAAGTAGATGCAACTTTAGGTGCCAGCCAGAAGTTCAGGTGCGTAACCCAAAGTAAAAGTTACAAATGTTCAATCCAAGTGAAGTCTAACTAGGTCTTATTCACCTTGATATTTGTGTCCATGGAGCCTGAGGCTAGATATTCCCCAAAAGGATGGAAATCAAGACTACAAATGTTCGCTTTGTGTCCCATCAGAGTACGAAGTACTAGACAGACAAAGGACAATTTAATTCAAGCTGTAATATACAACATATAACATTATGCAATATATAACACAAAAGCCCAATTCAGATAGGATTGGTTTTACCTAGGTTGACTAATTTTGTAGTATCAAAGGGATTTGACTGGCCAATTCAAATGGGATAAGAAATTTTCACAATTACCAGAGATAGCTGGACATAAAATTAATCCTATCCAAATTTAAACATCAGAGTTAGCTAATCTAAAAATTTAATGACAACAGAATTTTATTTCTTACGTGCCCTGTTCCATTAACAAACTAAAACACAAAGACACGGCAGATTTGGAAAGGATTTAAATTATGGACCACGTTGGTAATTGCTTCAATAGCAATGCATCCTAAGGTAAAATATAATTCTGTCCGAACAGGACTAAAGATATAAAACAAGCAACAAAGACCTAGCAAAACAACCATTACAGCACTGCTTCTTTATATATTTTAACATGTCATGAAGGAATAGAGAATGTTGGAGAGCAGAGTTGGGGCCATTCCGGAATGCATTCATCAATTCCAGTGAAAAATCAGGAAATGGAACTGGAATTGGGACTGGAGGAAAAACCATGGGGAGCAGAATTAGAACTGAAGTCGAATTTCAGGGTGATTTAAATTCCAACTTCAGTTCCAATTCCTGACTTGGATTGGAATTGACGAATGCATTCCGGAATGACCCCAACCCTGTTGGAGAGAAATGTAATAAGATTCAGACAAAACATCAGACTGACTTTTGGCTGCCTCCAGGTCCCAGACACGCAGTGACCCAGACTGTGACCCCGCAACCACCTGCTCCTCCGAGCTGCTGAACTGCATGCATTCCACCGGGCTGGTGTGTCCCTTCAGACTCTGCGACACAGACAGAACACCTTCCATTACTGAGAGGGCCCAAGAACACAAGGCAATTTGGTATAAGGAATGGGAAAGATACAGAGAATTCAGGAGCAGGAAAGGTAACAAACCAGACCAAAGCCAAGTAAAACTGAATACTGAACCAGATGGGAGATAAAATACAAAAAGGCCTTTGTTCAATACCATTATGCAGTTGGGCTTGCTGACCGCCCAGATGTTCACCCGACAGTCTTCCCCACCCGTGGCCAGCAGCCTGCCTGACGTTTTCCCCAGAGCCAGCGAGGACACATTGCTGGAATGTGCCACAATCTCCTCTGAAAAAGAACCCAGGTACAGCAATAGAGTGCAAGCACATTGCAAGATGAAAATTCAAATGCAGCCAAAACCCCATTAACCTGTACACCACTCTCTACACCAAACACTCTCCTAACTTATCCAATGACAAGACCCCTTGCCAGTACCCTTTGCCTTACATTGTGTTCAGCTGAGTATATTCGTTCAGTTTACATTGATTTTATAATTAGGTGCATGCTGATATAATATTTTCTACAAGGAAAACATCATCTCAAAAAAAAATCTGTGAAACAAATAAGGCTGCAACTCACGCAATCGCCATGACGTCTTAGTTGTGCCGACCCCCGCCATGCTAACCGAACGAGTAATACAAAAATATAATGGCAATCTTTTCACGTTTATTCTGTGGTTCGTTCTTCAAATATATGTGAAGTTATAAAAAAAAACAAGAAAGGTTAATTAAATTAATCAATGACGTCACTTCACTTTCATTGCAGTTGCTTCTGGTGCCTGTAAGAGAAGAAAAAGTTTAATAATGAAATATTTTATAACAAAAGGATCGAGATACAAGACAGCGCAAATAGGTAATTGTCAGCAATTTACAATGTTATGTTTATTGGTGTCACTACGGGATGCAGAAAGTGTTCGAGCAAAGTTAGCAGAAGCATGCATGCAAAATGAAACTGGAAAAGTATAAAAGTAACAAAATGTGCTGTCGTACTAAATACAATCAAGCAAATGGTATTAAGACGACTACTGAATACCTAACTGAGCTACACGAACAGCTAGCAAACACAATTAAAATCGTACATGACCGTTAGCAAAATGTCGCTATTATAGTATAGACCCTGAATATTATAAAACGAAAAAACAATTAAATAAACCTGGCGTGATACTGAGCTGACGTAATGATAAACCAGCTAGCTAGTTAGTTAGTTAGACTGCATGCTCAGCTAATTCTCTCAAATGCAAGTTAAAATGGGGTACTTACCGATCTTCAAACACTTCATAAATAAACTAACATTTCCAGCTGAGTGGATTTATTTTCTTTTTAGAAAAATTAACAGTCTATCCGGGCATTCTTAGCCTAACTGTTGACATGTTTGTTTTCGTTGCCCTCGACTCAGGCAGTCCGGGCGCCCCATGCAGGTACGGCCTTTCTGATTGGTCAAAGTACGCTTAGCAACCGTACCATGCGTCTTTGCCCTATGATAAATATAACAGATACAAATAATTATTCAAAGTTTACCAGCACAATCTGTATGTAAGAGATCAAATTCTACTGCTAAATGAGATAGCGAGTTTATTTTTTCAACGCACGCCTCAGTTTTCTGCAATACGCGGGCACGTGCGGTACCGCCTTAGTTACTAACTACCAATGAAAGTCACGAATAGTCCAAGAAATAGTGACGTCATTCAATTTGCGCCCACCGAGGGATCACAAGTTCGCTGGGACGTGAATTAAAAGCATGTTCGCTATTGTAATACCACTCATGCGAATGTATGGCAACTATTGGCACGACATGAGTTATGTGCCTCACTGCACGACTGAGTAGGTACAGAACTAAAATGTACTAGGACCCATTATAATCGGTGTTTTTCAAACACACACTCTGAATACGTGCATAATGAATGAAAACTGTGATAGATTAAAAACTGTCCAAATAGCATCATAGGAAACAAGAATCATTACAGCAGGTTTTCTGTTCTATCTGGCTTCTGATGAGGTGCACCTGTTTCTGGTATTTACCTGAGAACAGGTGTGGCTCATCAGAAGCCAGGTAGGATAGAAAACCTACTGGACAGTAGCTCTCCAGGACCAGAGCTGGAAACTCCTGCATTACAGGGTAGACAATGCACCTACAGCACAGCATCAGTTGGTCACAACATTTTTGTGCTAAGCACTTTGCACCAATTTCCATTCAGGCCAAGTAGTTCTGTTACTAAACCTTTAATCGCAAAATCTTTAATAACTGTAGTAACTGGTTTGACACAGCTGACACACACCAAGGCTAAACCATTTTCATAATTCGTTTATAAAGCCTTTAGGGATGTTATACTCTTATAAAATTATAGCAATATTCCTCAATTTCCTGCACTATTTATAATTTCATTCCAACAATGCATAATGTACTTCCAGAGCACTTGCAATCATATGTATTTTATCAAAATAAAATTGACAAAATATATGATCCTAATAAAGCTGTATAACCCCATCAGGAATGACACTTAACATTCCTGATTGAACATATTTCAACATGCATAGCCCTGGTGATTTATGAAACAATGTACACCATGGAATTATATACCAAGTTGTAATACTGAAACAAATGTAATGTATTAATGACACCAAACAAATGAAAGACTAGTCTCAGGTTCTAATATAGATCAGTTTGCCTCAGGAATATAAAAATACACAGTTTTAGAGCAGTCTATTTTTAAACCCCTTCTGAAAATTATGATAGTAACATGGGTTCTCATTCAAAATGTCATGTTAACATCTAACAACTCTCATTACTCAAAAAAAAAAAAAAATTGTACAAGCCTTTGCACATGAAATGGCACCTGAGGAACAGTACAGCCATTCAATGAGCACCTTTCGCCAGACAAGTCAAGATAACAGTGAGATAACAGTGATAAGTGAGGAAAAACAGAATAATGGACTCAATTTGATTTTATATGCTTAAGAAAGGGAAAAAGAACATTTTCATTGTCAGGACATGCTGATAAATTACAGTCAATGACAGATTTACCAGTTGGGCAACTCATTTTTAGCCCAATATGAGAAAAGCAGATTATCTCATAATAATTTAAAACATTATCAGACATCAGTATTCTGCCAAGCTAAAATTTCTTGATTTGTCGTCTCTCCTGTCTTCTCTGTTTCTTCTCGTTAACCTCCTCTGTGGCAGCCGGAGTCCCCGCTGAAAACCAGGGACCCAGGAAGTTCACCCAGAGCAAATACAAAGCCCGGATGGGAGCCTGAAGAGCAGAGACAGAGTGTGCGGTAAGAAAGATGAGCCACCAGCAGTGAGGAAACAGGCGTGCAATTCCCGGTGCTCTGGCACATCTTACCAGAAGCCAGAGGTACCAGAAGTAAGATGATATTGTGCTGAGAACTTGTACAATGGCAGTGAGCAAAATCACATCTTTAAGGTGCCTAAATTGAGAGAAAAAAAAAACAACACAAGAATCCTCATTAAACCACAATAAAAAGTACTATTCCTAATATATCCACACTGGTTCTGCTGGCACACAAGAGAAATATATTTAACCTGAACTTTCACACAGAAATAAATAAAAAATTGTTTCAAACCAGGACTGTAATTCAGACGAAGCTGATTTTTTTGTGCCATGAACAGCTCTTGGTACAATATAGGGCATTGCAGGGGAGAGCAGCACCTGCTCACCTGAGGCAGACTCAACACTCACTCTGCCATGCCCTGCTCCATGTTCAGATCTATCCCACCATCCAGTAGGCTGCCATCGTCCGCAAAGGTAGGCTTGGCCATGGCAGACATGGACTGGTAACTGCCCATGTAGACCGACAGGGCAAACACCAACAGGATCTACAGAAAGACAAGAACGTGCAGTAAAGCTATTGAACTGTGACAAAACCTAAACGTTCCCTCCATGCTGGATAGAAAATCTTGCATATATGTGGGGAATTAAAACAAGAGCTGCATGTCCTCCTCTCATTTGTAAATTTCTTATGTTCTAATTAACAGACAATGATCCACAACAATGAATATCCTACAGCACCACATTTTTAATTTAAAAATACATGTAGAATTAGAATATCAGTGGTCATTGTCAACACACCACAGCACACAGTACGCAACAACGAAATGTGTCCTCTGCATTTAACCCATATGTGACTTTCGTGACACAGCAGGGGGCAGCTAATTCAGCGCCAGGGGAGCAGTGCTTGGGGGCGGTACCTTGGTCAGGGTACCTCAGTGGTGCCTTGCGGGTCGGGATTCGAGCCTGCAATCTTTCAGTTACAAGTGCGCTTCCTTAACCATCAAGCCACCACTGCCCACAAATGTAATGTAATGCAAGATATGTTGTTATATAAAAGTTACATGTTCTCTATAAAGCATGCATGATTTCAGTCAGTCGATCTTACCCATGTCCAAACCGTTGAACTGCTATAATAGAGCATTAGGTTGATGGCAACGAATATTGCCTGCGAAGAAACGTGAAAACGTGCCACATGGTCATGCAGAACGCAAAAATTACTCTCCTTAAAATTCACGTAAATTTCAGACATTTTTTTTATTCATTAATGCATTCTGATAAACACTGCAAATGGGGACTTACGTTTGCTCCAAGAATGACCCTTGTATAGAATTTAAGCGTGGCAATATTCTCTTCATATATCTGTTTCTTGCCTTTTGTTCCTACCTTTCCTTTTGGCTGAATATTAAGAAATAGAAAACAGATGTTAGTAAAGGAAACTTGTCTAGTTTGCAGACAACTGATTAATATAAAAAATAATTTGTGTGAAATAAAAACAATAAAGAAAATTTTATATAGCGACGTACCGACACCTGTCTAATAGACAAAATATATCCATCAAAATTACTGTCAATTCATATATGGTAATAGTATATTATGCTATTTGTCATACACGTTTAAAAAAGTATAGGAGTGATCAGGCTAGCTAATTATAGCAAACTGGGAACCTTTATCAAAACCTGTCATTAGCATAACATACCGGCATTGTGTATTTCAGACCCGTAATATGTCGCAGAAAATATTCTAACTATCGACATCCACTTCTAGAGGTGTATTTTAGCTTAATTTCTGTAGTAAAGAAATGACCAAACAACCAACTGCAGCAACACATCAGCATTGAACGAAAGTAATTGCGGCGCCCGATTTATTCGTCATTTCCTTCCCCTGCTTCTTCCTGCTTGAATGAAAAATCACTACTGCCGTCTAAAGAACGGCTGTATATATACAGCAGTTTATATTTTGAATAGGAATTATCATGTGACACAAATAAATCGCCGGGTTATAACGATATGGAATTGTATCGTTTTTGATTTTTATTTCTTTCTCAAGAAATTTGCGCTGACAACACAGACAAAGTTCTGTTTCCTTGGAAAAATCTGCTTATTAGGAGTCGCTTCGTCTTTTATACTAAGAAACACACGGAACGTTATAGAGCACGGGATAAAATATTCGATGGTCGTAATATGAATATTAATTTTATTATAATCGTAATATTATTAATCATATAATATGCCTATGACTGGGGTAGTGGGGGCTAATAGTTAGGGAGGCGCTCTTGTGATTGGAAGGTTACTGGTTCTGACTAGCAGGGTACTGACCCACAAGCACTGTCCTCTGGGTGATAAATAATTGCTGCCTACTGCTGTTACATATGGGTTAAATGTAGAGGACTCGTTGATCGTTGGGGTGTGTGGAAAATGTTTCTCTTAACGTAATTAATTAATTTTTTTTCAAATTAGCACTTGTCTTGCACCAATTTAAAAACTACCCGCAAAAACAGAAAAGATCTGAAATTAATGATCCAGAAACAACTTCAGGGGACAATGGCTATCTATTTTGTTTGACCATTTTCAATAAAAAAATAAACTCCCCACAGGGTCTTCAAATCAGAAAGCACATGCGATGAGTTTGTTGTAAACTCATGCCTCCGGAATATAAACGTTCAACCGTATGGAATGACACTCTCGGCATGACTGTGTAACTGCACAGTAAACTACGCATCCCAGCATGCAAGGCGGCACTCGAGTGACGTTTGGTTGGCTGGGATTGCTTCTGTAGGCGGTGTGAATAGCAGCGCAGAGACATCCACAGTAGGAAGCTGTGCGATATAATGTAAATTAATTGTGGTCGAAGTCTACCCAGATCTTTATCACAGGATTAAGTGAGAGGGTGAAAGAAATCCATAGATGAAGATGACAGACTCGTAGGAAGGAGATCGGTGAATTGAAGGCTGTCAGGCGTTTTTATGAGACGACCCGTTGCCGAACCGAGTGTCTCAGTGTTATAACCTGCTGACTTTGGGAGACTGAAGTTATAATGGAAACCCCCGAATTGCCAATCGAGGTAAATATTCCGATATTATTGGCTCTATGAAAATGGTTGGATGAACGATATAACTTTTGAATTAAATTAATAACCTGACACGTGACTAACCGTGCCATGCGTGGGACAGCTTTAGGTGGTTTTACCTGCGGACAGGGAGGTTTTATTAAGTGGCAACACGACAGTCAATGCAGTATCTAAAAAAGAAAAAAAACAGTGGTTACGATGAACATTCATAAGTAATAAAAGATATTTGCTCAGCATAAGACTATATCTGTTTGTGGCTCAGAGGGTAAGGAATCTGTTCCTGTAGGTTGTCGGTTCAAATCCCGGAGTCGGTACAGTGATTTTACCGTTGGGCACCTGCAGGGACAGATATTCCTATAGTCGGCCGCTAACTTCTGTTAACCAATTTGATTTAGCCTCGGATGTGGGGTGCTGGTATTGTTGCCCGCCTAGGGCGCCACATAGGCTGGGATCGGTACTGGGCACTGACCAAATATCTTAACCTCCAAATGCTCCAGGGACTATAACCTTCCAATTTTATTATTATGTTAAAAAAGGTACGTCACTTTGGATAAAAGTGTCTGGTAAATGTTTGGAGGTATTATCCATGCACCTTTCTGTGTTTTCTTAATGAAGTCTCATTGTATTCCATTTCCAATTCGAAATATACACAGTACATGTAGACCTGTAACATAAACTTGTATACTAAAGTGAAAGACATTTTATTGTTTGCGTTAAATTTGTGAATTTAGAATAAGTAGAATAAAAGTTGAATAATCCACCAATAAATTCCTGAACTTGTTTTATACTGGCACATAATTAAAATTTCTGTCCCTCTGAACAGATAATCACTTACATACTCAAGTTCCTGAAAGTACATGACAGGAAGGAAGCCTCGCTGGTCTGTAAACGCTGGTATATCGCTAGCCAAGACAGTCAGTTCCAGGTAATGTGTTCATTGTTTTCAATTAAAACTCCTTTTCTCTTATCTTAGCAATAACCTGTGAAATGTTTATATTGTCAGTAGGGCTGGGCTATAGACGACTTTAATGTTTCCACCATGACTATTCTAAACATTCCATCAGCGTTTACCTTTACATCGTGTGTCAATGCCACTATCGTGCCCCCTGTCCCGTCCAGTCTATCCATGTAGGCCTTCATGGAGCACGGCGGTCCCATATGCAGTGTACTGAACATGGTTAGTGTGACAGTGAGGTCTCACTTGATTTAATATAGGTTATGAACGATATTTTGATTTATTGTTGCACAAAATTTAAACAATAAGGAAAGGAAAACCTTCAACAAAGTGTTGATAAGGAACATTGTTTGATAGCACTTATCAGCCAGTCACGTTACAGAAACAAACGCAACACCGAACTTTTAATATGGTCTTTTAATAACGGACAACTTACGTCCAACAAACGAACTTCAAGGTTGGCAATAGATATGAGTTATAGGAGAAATGAGTGCTCACTCGGAGGATGCACACACCTGGGGTTCCGTAAAGCGGGTGGGGGGTGATGGTAGGTCGATGGTTTGGATCAGGGGCCCAATATAAGATGTTTACACGGGGCCCAAAACCTCAAGCGGTACCCCTGATCTCAAGTGTCGGCGAAGAAAGCAACAGCTCAGCAGACACATTGTCTTTTACAAATGGAGATGTTGAGGATAATCAGGATAAAAGACATCGATATTGTGGCGGTACTTTGCCAATTTATTGTCCTACAAGGAACAACCTGGCACTGTGTACTATAAACGGCCGAAAACTCATGCCAACTAAAACTAGAAAAACTGCAAACATCGCCACTCAGTTGAACACACAGAATGCAACTGCTTACAGTCAGATACCAACATTTAAAATAAAGGATGCCATCGCCCCCCACCCCCCACCCCCCAGTCCCCAACGATAATATTTGCAGATCGGGGGTGGGTGAGGGGGTAATACGGGATAAATTGTGGTTCAAAATTTTATTTTTCCAAACTGACGATCCCGTAAAATTTGGGACGGGTAGCAACCAACAATTACAAACCCGTTCCCTGGAACAGGCTGCGAGGCAGGAAGGGAAAAAACAGCAACAAACAGCACTGGTGTTTTCTATGACAAAAAATAAGTAAATAAACAAACAAGTTTTGTATGATTTATTAAAACTAGATTTCAGTTTGCACTTAATATTTTTTTGTGTTCTGAATCTGTTTTAAGGGATTCTTCAGAGAATTTGAGCAAAAATGGAACCTTGAAGTAAAAAAATAATGACGAATTATATTGTGATTGTCATATCATCTGATTCAAAAATATTATTTTGATAAAAATATTTTGCCATATAGCCCAGCCCTAAATTTGTCAGTAAAAACATTGTGTAAGAAAATGTCAGAGTTATGAAAGTTTGTACTGGATCCCTTGCAGAAAAAGCTAACCTTCAAGCTGCCAGCCTCTCTGTCTTCCCTGGATGTTGTCCGAGGGCTTGCCAGGCTACCTCACTGCGGCCTGGTCATCAGCCACCTTGACGGGTCTGCTGTGTCGCGGGCAGTGCTGACGGAGGTGGGCCGCTACCTGGGTTCTCGCCTGGAGAGCCTCTCGCTCCCGGGCAGCAGCATCACCGAGTCCTCCCTGCTGGCTCTCTTACCCCGCCTGACTGCTCTCCGGCGCCTGGATCTGAGGGGCCTCGACAGCCTCTTCATGTCAGGAGCGTTCCTCAGCCAGCAGGACAGCCGGCTGGAGGTGCAGGCGGCGCTGAGGCACCTGGAAGAACTGGACCTCTCTGACCTCCGCTACCTGTCCGACCTGACCTTTAACCGCCTGACGGGTTGCACCCCACGCCTCAGACGGCTGTCTCTGGCCGGGTGCCACATCGCCTTTGAGTTTGACCCATACCGGGGCTGCCCCGTCGGCCCAGACTCCTCTGCGATGCTCTCTCTGCGCAATCTGCTTAAGCTGCTCCGGCAGCAGGCCGGCACCATGCGGGGGCTGGACCTAAGCAGGACCGGAATCACGCCCGAGTCCCTCAAGTCCTTGTCCAAGATCGAGGGCCTGCACCTGGAGGAGCTGTGCCTCCAGAGCTGCAAGGAGCTGACCGACCAGGCTCTGATCACGCTCTGCAAGCACCAGCCCGCGCTGAAGACCCTGGACCTCAGCTCATGCACCGAGCTCACGAATGCGACAGCCCTGGCCGTGGCCTCCGGCCTGAAGGACCTCCAGCATCTTCACCTGGCCCGCGTCTGGAGGGTGACGGACAAAGGTCTGTCAGAGCTCATGATGCTGAAGGACCTGCAGACCCTGGACCTCTCCGAGTGCATCCACGTCAGCGGCATGGATCTGCTGAAGGGCCTGAAGTCCCCCTCGGCGGCGGCTTCGCTGGTGGCCCTCAGTTTCAGGGCCTGCTGTTACGTCAGGGTCAGTGTCACCGCCTTCTCATTAAAAGCCAATAAGTGGCACTATTTTATTTTGCTAATGTATTTTTTTGTTGTTGCATTTTCAACTTGTTTAAAAGTTTTTACAATGCAAAATGTACATTAGTGGCAAAACCGTGGAAACATCTAGCATTTTTTGGTGGTAATGTTTATAAACAATCAAAGTTTTACAAATATTGTATACAAATATAATACACTGGATGATTAAATAAGTGACTGGAGCAACAGTTGAATAAAGTTCTCCAATCTGAAAAAACTAGAAGTATTTCGACAATTTTGGCCACTAATGTACAGATTCTACCCCTAAAAAATGTGTTAAAAGCTGTCTCAATGGAACAGAGCATGAAAATATGGTATATCCATATTTACTAACCTAAACAACCTCCCTAAAAGCCGCAAATGCTTTCTTTGTAATGTGAATGGATTTCTGAAAGCATGTACGATTTTTAATCTAGAAATTCTGTATTTTCCGGTATTGCTGTTTAAGTCCCCTAAACCCTTTTTTTTGGGGGGGGGGGGCAGTCACAAAAAGAGATTTAAAAGTTTCTTGCATATTCAGAAAATCATTTTGCAACCCCTCGCAATTATTTGGTGACCCCCAGGGACGTTGTAATCCACAGTTTGAGAAGTGCAGGTTTAAGGTTGGTTGGTGGTTTAATTTGTGCTTGACGGTTGGGTCCATAAACCTGTAGGATAAGCTTTGGTCATTGATGATGGTCATATTACCAGACTCAGGTTCTCATAGGGATTTCCTCCTCCCAGGACATAGCGATATTCTCATTGGCCCAGCTTCTTGGCCCCTACACACGCAAGCTGGACCTAACTTCCTGTCAATGCCTGACCGATGTGAGCGTACGTGCCATTGCTACCTACCTACCGTCGCTGCTGGTGCTCAGACTGGGCGGATGCAAGGAGATCACAGACTGGGGGCTGCTGGGAATGGTCGATCCCACCGCGGAGTTCGGCCCTGACAGGGATCTGGTAGGACAGCCAATCGGCCAAGCAGTGTAGCATCCAGCCGGTACCTTAGTTGTGCTCCAATGTCATGATCAGATTTGGTTTTCGGCTGTTTTCCCGGCTGTGCAGGAGGTGAAGGGCCCCTCCTTCACCCGGACCTTTGGGAACATGGGCTTCTTCCGCCCTCCGCCCCTGCCTTTCGTGGACAAGCCTCGACTGGTGACTGAGGATGACCTGAAGACCTTCCGGGAGCAGGAAGGGGTCTCCCTGCTGGCCCTCCGAGGCCTTCAAGAGCTGGACCTGTCTGGCTGCAGCAAGCTGACAGACACCAGCATCACTCAGGTGGTGGGGGGGGGGACGCTACAGCGCTAGCAGCACGTTCAGCAGTCCGTCAGCTGACATGGACACGGCCGAGCTAACACGGCACCCCTCTCTGCCTAGGTTCTCCGATTCCCCGACTTGCAGCGGCTCTCACTCTCCATGCTAAACGACATCACGGACCAGAGCCTGCTCTCAGTGGGTTGGCACTGCCGAAGCCTTATCAGCCTGAACCTCTCTTACTGCCCTCTACTGACCGATCAGGGCATCGTCAGTGCAGCACCGTTCCTGAGGAGATTATGGAGCCTTCAGCTGGCTGGTTGCAGCCGCATTACTGACAAGTAAGAGACTCTCTTATCATATAAGGTAGTGTTTCCCAATCCGGTCCTTGAGGACCCAGTCGGTCCCTGTTTTTGCTCCCTCCCAGCTCCTTACCGGAGGGAGCAAAAATGTTGACAGTCTTTGGGTCAAGACATGCAGTAACGACAAAGCTGTGGCCCTAATGTGTGTATTAAAGGTTTAAACCAGAACTTACAACTGCAGTTACACTACACAGTAGTTAAATAGAGTGATACACAAGTGGCGTTGAGCGATATCGGTGATGCGGAGCCTCTTCTTCCCCAGGTCCCTGGCTGCCATCACGCAGCACTGTCAGAGCCTGCGGACTTTGGACATTTCCGTGTGTAAGGGCATCACCATGACGGCGGTGGAACAGCTCCAGTCCCACCTGCCCTTCCTGGACTCTGTGAACCACTGCTTTGTGGGCGGGGCCAACCCTACCTTCACTCTCTGAGAGTCACCTTTAGAAAGATGCAAGCCATCATCTTTGTTCCTGACTGGACTTGAACAATATCAGGTCTGTAATGCTAATTGAGCTACCTCCAAAGATGGCTGCAGTACTTCATTTGCAAGCAGTGGCCCGTTTAAGAGAGAACAATTTAGGGTGTCTTTAAAGCCAGCAGGGCTGGCTCTATTCATTAACCAGGGGCGTTAATGTGGCCAAACAGCTCTCATGATGGAAGTTCCTGTTCCTTGTACTTTCGGGTTCAGTCATTTCTTGCAGATACTCTGAGTGAGGACACTGTGATTCAAGTCATCGTTCCATAATAATGGATCTGTATGTGGACTGCTGTTATATAAACAGGAAAATTCAGGGAACTGTATACAATCAATGTAAGCTCAAGGGACAGAAAACACAGTTGTATCAAAGAACTGCTCATTCTGAACGAGTAGTTACATGGCCATTATATCACTGTGTAGTAAATTTAGGAAAAGCGTAAAGTTTTATTTTGTGATGATGCTGAGGATAGTGGTGCAATACATTTCAAATTCTGAAAAGGTATTTTAATCTGTCATATTGTGCGCACCGTCTTTAGTAGTTATATCTCTACTAAAAGTCATTTCCTGTGAGCTGAAAAGCATGTATTGTATGTGTATGTCCTGAAATATGGACAATTGAATGTTTCAATTTAAGAAGTCCACAATATCAGTAATGGTCAACAGTTGCAGGCTGCTGCACAAAAACCATGTGTTTTTTTTTGAAGAATATATGATGTGTAACTTTAAATCAATGAGTGTTACAATCACATTAAAAGACAGGGCTGTACAGAAGGTGACAGATCAAATATCCATTGATGCATCTTGCTGAATGCTGGAGGTGCCTGTATTTCTCAATAAGAGCAAAAAATATATAACTATATATATACATACATACATACATACATACACACACACACATAATACATACATGTATATGTGTGATTGTATGTTTCTGTGGTGTGTGTGTGTGACAGAGAGAGAGACATGCACGCGCCACACGCACTTTCCAAAAAGAAATTATTAAAAAAACTAAGCAAACTTCTTGTGGTAACAACATGACCTTTACTGCAGGAAGCACAGGGAACTGATGAATACTAAACAAACACTTTGCCAAGGTCATATTATCTTTTTTTCCTAAAGCTTTTCCTCCTCTTTGGTCTGGGTTGGTACCGTTAATGTTGATGTAAAAAAAATCTTAACACATTAAGAGTTTAACAAAAAATTAAGGTCCATATAGATGTATTTATAGAAACACATATGTAAAATGTCCCGATATAGAAAACGTTCCTATTTACATCATGCATTTAAGTTGTAAGACGTAATTAGTTCAATGGAGATTAACCATTTAGTGGAAAATAAAATAAATACATTGAAGGAATTCCATATTATGCTACCAGACCAGGTTCCACATAATTCCGTAATTAAATTGGTTTAAATAAAAGTTGACATACACGTTTAAAACTTTTCTGCTTTAAAACTAGCCATATCATAGGTCTTTTCTGCCTGCTGTGACTATATTGGCAGTTGGTCAGTCTTACAGTACAATTACAATTAAAGATGAAAAACAATAATACGTGTTATATACAAAATAAGCATCATTCGGTTTTCTTGTAGCCTTCAAAATTCTTAAAAATACAGTAACCCCACACTGAAGCTATTTATTATTATTTATTATTATTATTTAAAAAATAAATCTTTGACCAAAGTGTTTATCACTGAAAATGTAGGGACCAGTATTCTTAGGTGAGAACTGTTTAACCAGCAAATCAGTTAAGTTCTCTTGATTGAGTTGTTAATTGCATTAACATTGATCTGTTCTTTAACAACCTTGATTAAATTCGATTACACTGCAGCTTTACTTGCACCAAACAGATCTCGTTAGTGCTAGTCAGGTAAGGCTACTCAATTGTCTTCCGTCTATCCCTGTTGATGCTACAAACATACTGTGCTTTCTTAGAAATACAGAAATGGGTTTGTGTACCTTATGATCGACCTCATTAGGGGACAGAATAATGTGAAGCACCGGTATTGTCATCAAGTTAATATGTACGTTATAAGATCGCCGAGATTCATGCCAGCGCATCAAACCACCAGATAAAAATGTAGTCACCAATTCCTTTAAATCTCTGTCTTCCCGATGGAGACAAATGGAGCCAAACAAAGAAATCCAAACATGGTAAGAATGAGGGGGGGGCACAGGCCACCGGTGTATCGTTTTGTATACTCATCTTGTCACCATGCCACATTAGTTAGCTTCAAAGAGGTCAAACAAATCGCGGAAAAGTGGAACTGTAGGCCATACAGATACCGAAGTCAGTCAAGTAATTCCATGTTAATGCTGGTGAGTGTGCAGCAAACCCCAAAATTCTGTTCCGTATTAAAACGGGACAGCAAAGCTCCCCAAACACTGTTTCATGCAGGATTGACTCCTACTCATTAGCCTCTACTCAGTGAAGACCTGAGATGGACATTTCAGGTCCGGAAAGTAAAATCCAGGCCAAAATTTTGTTTCAACCAGTAAATTGAGTATAAAGATTCACAGTCGCAGAGTACATAACTGGCTGGTTGAAGCAAAGTGGTCTGGATTTTTACTTTCCGGACCTGAAATGTCCTCCTCTGGTGAAGATAACCTCTCAGAAAGTACCATTAAGTTTAAATATAATAAATGTTGGAATAGTTCTAATTGGGACTATTTTTTTTTTTTGGCAATAATTTGTGGTTACTGGACAAAATATAGACATGATCATAGTCATCTTCAGTGTACCTGTTTTAAAGAAATCTTTCAGTTTTACCTTTCATGGTAAAGAGCTGTTATGACAATAGCTATGACCGATGAAGGAATAGTGGAATAACCTTCACTACAGACTGCATCGCTTACTTGACGTTCCTTCTGAATACATGCCATGTTTATGAGGGTTTATATAAAATTCTAGAATCAGAATCAGAAAAAACTCCTACTCATTAGAGAGCACACCTTAAGAGAATCTGCCAGGGTAAGTTTCGCTGTATAACTGGTATGGGTTTTTTTGGTACTCAGAAAGACATAAGGCTGGATTCCTGAATCAGTTTCCATCCTATAGCTCATTGTCACTCTTCATTTCATCGCCATATTGGCCAGAGACAATTATTGCACAAGACAACAAAAATCCTCAACCACAGGTTAATATATCATCAACTTTTCCACCAGATCAGAAGCAAAAGCCTAGGAGAACTAACAATAACAATTCTCTCCTCACTCGATGCTATTTTTAAAGAAAGGTGTAGCAATGTATTCCACAATCAGTAACCAAAACAGGAGGCATCTGAGCTGAAGTGCCCCGTACAGAGCAAACAATCTGCCGATTCTTAGAGTCCAGTTATTTAGGGACGCTAAGTGTCTCTGAAAAGGAACACACCAAATTATTTAAAATAGAAAAATGAGGTGATAATGTGCACACACAAGAAAATTAATTCAACAGAATGAATACCCTCCTCCTATCAGGAAGCTTAATACATCCCGTTTCCCCAAATTGACTTTGTGGACCACGTTAGGGTTTAAAAACCAAAGACCCCACAGTAAATATGCCGGCAGCCGCAAGCATAACTTCAGCGTTCTGCATTCCCGCAGTGCAGAGGTACCATGGACCTGCGTGTCGCAGTGGCCCTTAGTTGGGGGCCCAGGGGCCTCCGGCTTAAGCCCAGATTCAGAGTAACAAGCGTGACGCATCTGAAGCTGCAGCCATCGCCAGCGGGAACTTTAAAGCTGACATGCTTCTCGGCCTGAGAATGAGGCGGCAAGGAAGAAATTCATGTATCTGAGAACAGACCACACAGATGCGAGACATAAGTGGCATCTCAGTGAGGTTAATTTTGAACCATTAAATATCACTAGCACCTCTGTATTGAAATGTGTCTCTCCATCAACACCACCCCTCCCCCAATATCAATGTTTATAAATCATACAAGCCTTTATAAATTTTCACCTGGAAGCTCTCGGGACTCAGAAACCGTCTGACCTTAAAATAGGCCCAGTTTCTTTCAAGATTACACTTCACATCCCTCTTACACACAGTTCCACACACTGAACATGACCACAATTGCTCTACTGATGTAACCATACCCCTTTGATATGTCCCTTCTACACCTCAAGAGGGCGCTCCACCCCAACCAATGTCCTACTGCTCTGTCTGGCTGAAGTCGTAGCAGAAGTTAAAGCTGCTCGGAGGTTTGGGGATGGGGGGAGCGGAGTCGGGGATGGGCACGTTTTCCAGGTCGAGGAGACGGAGCTTGATTTCCATGGAGAGCAGAATCTCCAGCTCGCTGCGCATGCTCTCACTGGTCATCTCTTTCCCCAGCAGAACATTCAGTCCGTCTGTCCACAGGCAAAACTGGGAGGGGGTGTAAGAGAGAGAGAGGGAGGGAGGGAGGGTAGGTGGCTGAGTTGGTTATAGAATTATAACAATGCACAGCTCAGCCAGACAGGGTGACTTTCTGACTGCCAGACAAACTAATAAATTGGTGTGCAACTGGCAACTGACACTGTTCCTGCATTCACCCCCCCCCAGCACTCCTTCCAGAGAATTTGCACCCACAAACTCCTGACTTGTTTTACCTGCCTGTTAAAGGGCACCACACCAAAATATCTAATAACTGCAATTTTGCAGATATCAAACAAAGAGATTGAAACCAAACAAGAGTCATCATCCCCACCCTGGCTGAGCCAGAAACAGTGACAGCTTTCATTCTGAGCTCGTGCTTCAAATGAAAACCTAGATATCGCGATACAGCGGGGGGCGCGATAGCTGAACCGCGATACAGCGGGGGGCGCGATAGCTGAACCGCGATAGAGCGGGGGGCGCCATAGCTGAACCGCGATAGAGCGGGGGGCGCCATAGCTGAACCGCGATAGAGCGGGGGGCGCCATAGCTGA